TTGTTGTTGTTGTTGTTGTTGTATGTTTTCATACACTGCCTGGCCCCCAAAAAGTTGCCACCAAATAAAGGTCACACACTAATATTTTGTTGGACCGCCTTTAGCTTTGATTATGGCATGCATTCGCTGTGCCATTGTTTCAATAAGCTTCTGCAATGACACAAGATCTATTTCCATCCAGTGACCAAGAAGATCCCTCAAATAGTTCTTAAACCAATATTGATTTTACAATGTTTATTGATATAGATTTTGAAAATACGACCAAATCGTAGTTATCATCATGTTAGCATAAATTGCATTTCATACAATTCCTGTTCTGTAATTCTTCATGGCGGTCTGTTTAAGTTCATCAATTTTATTCCCTGGTGGTTATATTTCTGGCAATCATTTATTTTGTTTATCTTTAGGATGGTGATGAGTCCTTTGACCAAATGGACGTTGGGATCTTGTTGATGACACCTGAAGGTGTCTCTCCCCCAACATCAGATCTTCACCCGGCCAGCCTGAAAATCGTCATTGAGGGTGAAGCTGTTGTGGAAAGGCTGATGACCCTGCCAGAAGCTGTGGGTCTCCTTTTTGGGCTCACATATGGACTCCACCTGAACTACCCCAAGAAAATCAGAAATACTCTCCTGGTCATTCCACAGATATTTTTTCATTTGGAAGTACTGAGTGTAAGCCAAGTATTCAAACACTGAAAAATCAACTACTTGTGTAAAATGGTGCATGTGCTCTATTTTTGGTTAGAGGGAGTTTTTTTTATTAGTAGTAGTATTAAGCAGCTAGAAGTTTAGTGTTTTTACTGCTGAAGTTCAGTCTTTATAGCCATCTTTAAAATAAAAACATAATGTGAATAAGTGTTGTAATGTGTGGGCCGGTTACGTTTACAGACTGAAACAACTTTAACTGTTAGATCAAAAATTTCCTGTTCATCATTAGTTTTAAACAATTAATGTGCCACCATGCTAGTTACTTTTTTTTTTTTGTCTAATCTTTAAGGCTTCCCAATAAAAGAACTGTAGCGACGCTCATTCTTATTAGGCAATTTAACTA